TATATCTAGCCCTTCTAGTTTTCGAGCTATGCTTCAAAAACCAAGCGCTAAAATCAATATTTAACGATATTATGAAAATGGAGGAAGATATTGAAAAAATCATTAAATTTTGCTGAGTTTGACCATATAACCATATATATATATATATATATATATATATAAGAATTTCAAGGAAATAGTATAATTTATTATAAATATAAATAATTCGTTGGATATATGCAGACCTTAGGCCTGGGCTCAAGCTTTTTGGTTAGCATTAAACGAAAAGAAAATGTTATATCGTTTATTCCCTGAGTTCCTGGCTGTGGAAACCCGGCTCACAAGCCGAACCTTTAAAAGGCACTGGTTCAAACCCTGTGAACCCAGCCATAGACATTTCCTTCTGGGCTCTGCATCAGCTTGAATTGCCGTGTAAGCTTAAGCTTGCAGCCTGATCCCAATCCACAGTAAAGCCTGCTTGAGGGCGCAATCACAAGGCGGAACTGCCAAATATTTGACTAAGACTTGCACTAAAAGCAATTCGCGAAAAGCAAATGTTGAAAAACGGCGCTGCCAACTGCTGCCAACTGCTGGCTAAGAGCGACGGTAAATGCGGCAGCAAACTGATTAAATATCCGGCCCACATTCGCGCACGTTAGGCTCGAGGAGTCAGCATAAATGCGAATGCTTGTCGAGGCAAATGTAATTTGAACAACAAAGCAAACAGCAGCAGAAGCAGCAGCAGCAGCAGCAGCAGAGCTTAAGCGCTGTCAGGCTAAAAAGGAGGAAACAAAAGCCGCGCCAGTTCTGCCACTTGCCGTGTGCCTCACCTGCTGCTGCTGTTGCTCAGCTCTGCCTCAACAGGATGCAGGATGCACGGCAACTCTGGGACAATGCGATTATTTGAATTGCGGACGGGTTGACAACTTACCTCGTAGCGCGTGTCGATTTCAGGTAACTTCTCTAGAAACTCCTCAACCATCTTTTGGCCAGCACGTGCGCGCAGCACAACACACACACACAGGCACACACCACACACACACCCACACACACAGGCACACACAAGTCAATCAATGCAACTAATTAAAGCTGAGACACCTGTTGTTGTTGTTGTTCCTCTTCTTTTTGCACTTGAAGGAATGCATTTGTTCACAGTTTCTTATTGTTCTCAGATTTTTGATTATCTTTTAATGCTGTTTTTTTTTTGATTGGTCACTTGGCACTTGCCACATGCCAGTTGCCAGTTGCCACTTGATTTTTGGGCGCTATTTTTAGCTCATGTACACAGAGGTACGTCGCAAAAGCAACAGCAAGAGGCTGTGTGTCGTGTGTCGTGTGTGCGACAGATTTGTTGGCAACAAACGCTGCACGTTCACCGTTCAGCACTAACAACAAACTGCAGAAAAACAAAACATTTTATAGGCGGCCGAGGCACTCGCAGCACGAAGAGCACAGACGAGCAGCAGCAGACCAGCAGAGACGAGACCAAGTGCTAAAAAAAAAAAAAAAAAATAGGACTATGGCAAATAAGAGAAATAACCAGCCAAAAGGCAGAAGTTCGAGCGCAGCAGCAGAAACTGTAGCATACTTATGAGCGCCGGCGCGCTGCTGCAGGGGCAACGACTCCTGCGCTGCGAGAGTGTGCCTGTGTGTGTGTGTGTGCGCGCGTGTGTGTGTGAAATTTCATACTCCGCAACTTGACATACATTTAAAGTTTCAAGCGAGCTTTTAGAGCAAACAGCATCCAAAACAGAGCATTTTTAGCACAACTCAAAGCAACAACATGTGGAACGCAACTGTTGAAGCTGAAGCTGAAGCTGCACCAGCAACTGAAGTTGTGTGCGTGTGTGTGTGTGTGTGTGTGTGTGTGTGTGTGTTTGGGGGCATGCAGCATGTTGTTTGCATCCACTTGTAAATAATTTGCAGCTAACGAAGGCGGCGCCACACTTAAAGCAGGCAGCAGGCCTGTTCTCAAAGTTCTTGTTCCTGTTTTCCCTGTTGTTTTTCTTGTTGTTGTTGTTTTAGTTTCCCTTTAGTTAAGCGGCAAACACTGAGCGCCACTCGTGCCACATTGTTTAAAAATAACAGTTATAGCATGAAATCTTAACTAAACAAGGCTATCAAAATACATTTTGAGCAAATTTTTAACTAGAGACACTTTTTGAGGCTCAATGTTCGCCCGTGTGGTTGGCGGGCATTAGAGAATACCACCACAGCATGTCATCGCTTGTCGTACGAGGCGACTAAAAGAGACACTTTTCGCTGCCTTTAGTCGGTGCTGCTGCGCCTCGAGCAGTTCCTTGCTCGATTATCTAGGGGACTTTTACTCCGCTGATAGCTAAAGGCAACTCAAAATGAAGCCTTTCGTATTATTCTGAAGTCGGCTATCTTTTATGACACGAGCGCAAAAGTTGCTCTATACATAAAGAATGCAGCCGCATTTTTAAAATAGCTTGGCTTCGGCTTGAATCAAAGTATTCTCCTTTTTTATACAATTTTGTTTCTTCTCGCCACGAACAGCTTTTTGTGCTTTCCATGGGAAAATTCTTCTTAAAAAACTGCTTCACATTTTGCATTAGAAATGAAATGTTTCATTCATTTATCGATAGATCGAGATAAGCTTAAGATTATTCTAGATATAGAGATATTGTTATTAAAGATATTGAGCAATATTTAATGTAACTAATAGCTTGGACTTCAGCGTGCCTTTAATTTTCGTGCTTTTGAGGCACGAGCAGACGTGTTTATTTTGTGATCCTTGGAAAAGAAAAGAAGCACGACCCTAGCTCATCTCCAAGTGTTGCCAATATAACTATTTTGGCCTCATCTTTTGAAGAGCGCTATAAAAATGTATTTATAACTTGTTTCCATAAAAACTGTTCTTAATATTTTACTTTTTAATGCAAGTTTATTAATAACAAAAGTTTTTATAGAAGCAAGTCATAGATTATAGTACATGGCGTTCTTCAAAAGATGAGGCCAAAGTATATATATTGGCAGCCAACTAAAGATGAGTCAGGTTCGTTCGTCTTTTCTTTCTTCAAGGAGCACGAAACAGACACGCAATCAAAAACAATCAAAAAACAAATTTAAAAGTTAAATCTCTAAATGAAGTGCCACATCGGTAACAATCTCTAGCTTAATCTAAATTCAAAGAAACACAGCTATCTCAGCTGGCAGCGAACTTACCAAAACCATTGTGAAGAAAACCTGCGGCGTTTTTGGTCTACAGCAAAGAAAATTCCAAAAAGTGTCCTGTTTTTGTGTCCGCACGCGCTGACCAGACAGCGCACACTGAACGTGTTGAATGCAACAATTTGTGGCAAAAAGACACGCAACCACACTTCATTAGCACGCTGAAAAGGCCAAAAGGACGTCACACGCGTCATGGCGGGGGCGTGTCAAAGTCAAAGGCAACCGACGGCAAAAACAAACCTTTGGCGCATGCACTCAAAATCGAATGCAAGGCATATGTGTGTGTGTGTGCGTGTGTGTGTTATTTGTTCAACGTGGCGTATGAACTGATTAGCGGAAATTTTTGCATGTCCTTGTAAGCAGCTGTTTCAGACGTTTAGTTAATAATTAATGTGCTTATTCGCCTATTTGACAGCGTTTTGTGACGGCTGCAATTTGCCTTTATATCAATTCAATTAACCCTTATAGCTTAAATTGTCACATTTTCAGCTTTGAAATGTGCCGCGCACTGAAAACATTCAAAAGCTGAGTGCTATGTCTTGCACATGCTGTCTTTTTTAGTACACTGCCTGTTGCACTACTTGGTACGCGGCATGCCAAGTAGTGCAATTTTATGTTAAATACAGCTTCGAATACAAGCTTTCAAGGGCTGAGTGCTATATCATGCACCTGCCGATTACGCGGCATGCCAAGCAGTTCTCTTTTATTTTAAATTCAACTTCGAATACAAACATTCAAATTCAACTTCGAATACAACATTCAAACATACATATGCCCTATATACATATATACTGTCTGTTTTCGACATTGCCCGTTACGCTGCATACCAAGCAATTCAGTTATTATTAATATCACTCACCATGCTTATTTTTGTTTCTTAGACTGTTGAACTTTTAAATTGTATTCAACCTCTTGGTAACCGTTACTAACGCCACATTTATTTTCAATTTTTAAATGATGCGCGCAGTGCAAGCAGACATAAGCTGAGTGTTTTGTCATAGACTTTTAGTTTTTCGCACACACTGCATTTTGCAATGCATTGCGCTACGTTACCTGCCAAGCAGTGAACTTTTGAATCAACTGCCAAATAATTTGGCGCCTTGCCAAGCAGTGCACTTTCAATTCAAACTCAAATTCAAATCTTTTTGTCCGTTTTATTTCATCTTTGACATTGTACAATTTGTAAGTTTTTGTTTTCATTCATATATGTGTATGTATATATAATTTCTGACAAACTTGAACATTTAGTTAATTTCATTAGACATTTATAAATTTCATTTGTTACAAATTTTCTCTTTCGTTCGCTCAATTCATACTCCCTTTTGATATTTGTGTTAACGTTCCTGGCTTAAATGTTCCCTTTATTTTGTAACTCACTTTTTTTTTGTATTTGTATGTTTTGTGTTTTGTTGTTATTCAATTATTCCTATTACACTTTGAATAAAATTAGATAGTTATTTGTTATAGACGAATACAAAAAATACATTATTGGTAAATTTACGCCGACATTCGACATTCGATTTACTAAGTACGCTCAACAGATTTCCATATGACATTATTAATATATATAATAAATTAAACAATTTATTACATTTTATCAGACTAAACATTTTGTTTTTCGCTATGTCATGTTTTGCTAGAGTTTTACAATTCTTTATATATATATATATATACATTTATATATATATATTTGTTTTTATTTAAATATTCAGATTAAAACACTTTTAGCTTAAGATCTTGGTGTTATTACATGCTATTGTTGTTGTTGTTGTTGTTGCTTAGTTTTAAGAGTTGTGCTTAAATATGCGCATATACGAATGTGTTCATGTGTGTGTTTGTATTTGTATTTATCACCCGGAGAGGCTTTTGAATGTTTGTCTTATCGTTAGCTTTATCGTAATGCTTCAGTTATGCTATCATATATGATATACGAATGATTGTAGGCAGGTGGTTGGTGGTTCACTTGACTTGCAATGTTTATCAACTTCAACTTCACTTCTTCTCTTCTCCTCCGACAAATGCTAACTAAGTTCATTAATTCATAATCTAATTGCTAGAGCCTAAGTTAACAACTTAAGTTAAAGGAGAAACCCTGAACTAATAGCAAAGGAAAACAACAGCCAAAACAAACTCTCATTTCAATTCATGCTTGAAGCTAGCTCAAGCCCGTCTCTTGGGCCGCCTCCTCGTTTCTTTGGGTGCCATTCTGTGCCAAATGCAGCTGCCACAGTCGCCTAATCTGTTCCGGCGAGATGCTGTGGCCCGTGAACAGAAACTCCAGCTGATTGGGATCGCTCCGACCGCTGAGCAGACGCTCACACGCCGATTCGTAGAGGACATACGGCTTGAGCGTGGTGATCGTTGTGTTCGTCTGCTGGGCCAGGACTCCGGTTATGTGAACATCGTCCACCCAGAAGTAGCCGGCATGCTGGGCCGCCTGATAGAGACGCTGCACCACGTCCGGCGAGTAGACAATCGCAAAGCCCGGACAATACGGCGGATAATAGTCGTCGGCGAACTCTCTAAAGCTGACGCGCCACTTGGACTGCAAATGGTAAAGGAAATTAGTTTGGATTCGAGTCTCCTTCGATATGGATACTCACGCGATAGGAGCGCTTCACTCGCGACCTCAGCTCGGGCCGGCAGAAGAGCAGATCGTGTGGCTGCTGGAGCAGGCCACGCAACGAGCTCGAGTTGGTGCGATTCGTGGAGGACAACAGCTGGACGAGGAGCGGCGTATTCACATAGACATCGTCGTCCACCTTGATCAACAGCTGGGCGTGCGAACAGCTGCTGTTGAACCACTTGAAGGCCATCACATGCTTGTAGGTCATGTTGCGATAGGCATCCTGAAAGTTGCCCTGCACCATGTCCGCGTGCTGCGCATTCTCCTGCTCCAGGGCCAGCTGCAGCTTTTGATCCGCCTGCGAGACGGCGCCCAGCAGGAAGACAACGCGCAGCGGCATTGGTGCAGACGTCATGCTCGATCCGCCCCACGTTTCGCGTATCAGCGTGCGTTTCTCGGCGTTCCACGGCGCCGTATGCACCAGGATAAGCGCCTGGATGTGCGCCTCGCAGGCAGGCTGTGCCATCAGATATGCAAAATGATGCAGATCGATCAGCTGGCTGGCATCCGAGGGAAACTGCGTGGATGGAGGAGCTGGGGGCGACGACGACGACGACGACGACGGCGACGGCGATGCTGGGAGCGACGCTGCGAGCGAGGCTGACGGCGATCGGCTGGCCGCCGTGGGCGTTGGGGCGGGCGTGGCCGCGTTGTCTAGACTAACTAGGCTAGGGCTATAATAATAATAACTACTAAGGTTGCTAATAAGTTGCTGAGTGCGACTAGGGTCGTGTATTTGGTTTGGTTTGCTGCCATTGGCACTCGATTGCAGTTGCTGTTGCAGTTGCAGTTGGATTTGTGTGGCTGGTATCACAGAGCTGACGGCGTATGCCTCCTCCGTGTCCGGCTGGTGCACGGCAATCAGCCAAATGCCGAACGCCAGAAAGAAGCAGATGAACAGAAAGCGTTTCACCATCATTCTAATGCTGTTCCAGCTGCCGTTGTTGCTGTTGTTGTTGTGGTTTCTAAAGCGATTAACTGCATCCATTGGGCTGCGCATCCTTTTGTACTTTGCCATCATTCTGTGCGCACCTCAAACGGAAGCGTTTTCTGCGTGGCTTTGCCATTTAATTGACAATCGATGTGGCTGCAAATGGACAAATTACAAAAATATTACATTAATTACATGTCATGGAAATACAGTGAAAACTCTTTAAGGGGGAAGGGCAAATGTTTTGGAAAGATCTCCTGACTTTCTCGTTTTCATTATATGAATGCAATAAATCAATATAAATCGCAAATTATCTCTAATTTGCAATGTATAGACAAGACAATTCTATATGCGTGAGCCTCAGAAGAAACTTCAGATATTTTATGAAATTATTTTCCATATTTTTTAAGACAATTAATGTCATATTATTCGGGCACAATCCGAACTCAATTTATTCTCTTTAAAGGCACATTTCAAGCCATGATTTGTTACTTTGCGTCCGCCTAAGTAAAATGTTCCTTAGTTAAGTTTTCACTGTACGACTTGAAAAGGGAATTTTATTTAATTTTTTTACGGCGCTATCAATCAGCGATTTATCTGCAACAAGCGCACAGGTGCGAAGAATAAACATTAATTTAATTGAGCACGCCATGACCTAAGCACCCCCAAAGAAGGCTGAAGCGGGAGCGCACACACAGACACAGAGACAGAGAGAGAGAGAGGGGGGGAGAGAGGGAGGGAGAGGGAGAGAGAGAGGACAAGTTAATTTCGCCAGAATGTGTGCTGGCAACTGGCGAAAGGACGCGCAACAAAAAAAATACCCAGTCCGAGTCCGAGTTCAATCAGCCAAACCCCAGCCATGTTATTGATGGCTGCGCACAGTGCTGAGCACTTTGGCCGTTTTCAAGCTGACTGTGGCTAGAAAATTTAGCTAGAAATACAGTCTGTAAAGCAGCGAGAAGTTACAGTTTATTTATTCGATGAAGCGAACTCTTCGAATAGTCAAACTTTCTTCTAGACGTGAAATGGACTTGGCTCGATTAAGTCTGCTTTTCGAGCTGATCGAGAATATAGAGTATATATATTGTGAGAGAGTATATATATATTGTGAGAGAGTATATATATATTGTGAGAGAGATATATTGTGAGAGAGTATATATATATTGTGAGAGAGTATATATATATTGTGAAAGTAAGAGAGAACTCCATCAGGCTGTTATTAATGGCTTCAGGTCTCAATGAAACAAAAATCAAGTTGATTCATTTACAAATAGGTCAAAAGTTTAACAAGGTTCCAGAAACGAAGCTAGAGACCAGACATTGAATTCTTTTAAACCCAATTTGCAACCAAGCTATAAATTTGACTAGAAGCAAGTGAAAACTTGTTGCTGGCAAGTTCAATCGATAAAAGGGGTTAGAGTTAACTTCAAGACCTGCGACTGGGACTATCTATGCGCTGTAGGGAAAGGTCAGCGCCTGACGTCAACGTTATCGATGCGCTTCGCTTTGATTTACCTCAACACACACACACAGATACACACACACACGCACACCTGTCATAATTAATACGCATGCAAAACAGAAAGCAACGAAAAAGAAAACACCTGATGGATTCCGTCGAGTTCCGCCTGCAAATGCGGTCAGCCGTACCCGATTGGCTCCCCCCCCCCCCCCCCTTTAGACGTTTTACAGGGTATGATCGGTTCGCTGCGCTTATCGCGGCACTTTGACGCAACTTCAGACTGGGCTGAGTTTTCGGGCACTCGTGCTGTCCGATAATGATAGCGGACCACTCGAAAAGTGGGCGAGGCGTCATTTGTCAAAAGCGATAAAGAACGACCAATGCAGCTGTTAACAATCAGAAAATATAGAAGGAACATTGCGAACATAGAGCTACTTTTTATTGCAGCTCGATACTCGAGAATGTATTTCGTTGTTGCTCGAAATTGTTAAGGTTGGGTGTCAGATCGTCTCATAAAACAAAAAAAAAAATTTGTTTTTTGTTTTAATATCGTTCAAATCGCATCGTATAACAAAGCAATCAAATTTTGATAAGATTGCGCTCATATGTGTGGAGCCTAATTGAAGCACGACACAATTGATGAATATATTCGGAAAAAAAGAAAAACTAATAAGCTGGTTATATCAAGTTTGTGTGTGTGTATGCATTTATGTACATATGTATGCGCGCATGTTGGTTTTCTTATACCAAACGCAGACCAGGCTTATTTGTCGCTGTGCTGCAAATTTAAATTTAACGAATTTCTATCAAGTGCTCTTCTCCTCGATTCTCATGAATTCAAGTAGGCCTTGCTGAAATTCAACAAGTGGAGGAGCAACTTGTGGCGGTGGAGCAGGAGGCAGCGGAGCAGGAGGATGTGGGGCAGGTAAGTAGATGTATGTGTGTATATATGTATGTCTGTATGTATGTATGTATGTGTGTGTGTGTATGTGTGTGTGTGTGTGTGTATGTATGTATGGACATATGTATGTATGCCTGTATGTATGCCTGTATGTATGTATGTATGTATGTATGTATGTATGTATGTATGTATGCCTGTATGTATGCATGTATGTATGTATGTATGTATGTATGCATGTATGTATGTATGTATGTATGTATATATGTATGTATGTATGTGTGTATATATGTATGTACGTATGCACTTATGTATGTATGTGTGCATGTATGTAGGTGTATATACGTATGTATGTATGCATGTATGTTTGTGTGTATGCATGTATGTATTCGGATATGTATTCATACATGTGGGCATGCATGCATATGTACAAAATAAACATGCAAACATGTACATATGTATGTACATACAAATAGGCAACCACTTTTTGCAATATACACCTGCCTTGTATGAAAAATGTGAATCAAAGTTTGAGTGCGCGAAGTTTCGGGCTTAAGCATATTCGCAAATATGCATAGGAAAATGCATTGGAGGCGTGTTCCACACTTTTCGCAAAATGTAGGCCTCCCCGATTGAAAATGCGATTCAAAGATGTTTGTCAAACTCATTTGAAACTGTCTATGTAAGATAAAACTTTGAACGATATGAAGCACTGAACTTGGATCGGGTAAGTCGAGACCGGGTAATCACTAGTTAGCTAGTTTTTAACTATGTAAAAATTGTTTGTTTAAGCCTTGTCCCCTTTTCGCAGCTTTAACTTGTTGGGAATTATAAGCAACGAAAAAAACAGAGCAAACATATCATAGTTCATTTAATAGTTGCAACAAAAGTTGTTCATAGAAGAGTTCTGTTCTGTGTGAAATAGTTTCTATATCAGCTACATGATAATCTTTGCCAGGTTTTACCAAGCTACTCAGCTAAAAAATATGTTCAAATGGATTTTTCCAATTCATAAAAAGTGCATACACAATATATGTATATATATATATATGCACATATGTGTAGATTATTGCCAGCTTTGCCTAAGCTGGGAGGTGCTTCGCCAGCTTTGGACCTGTTCGCATTCATTTCCGGCTGGCTCGTCATAAATTTAATATATATTATTCAAGATTTACGCTAAGCGGCGGCTGTCGGGAGCACGTCGTGACGTGTTGCCACAAAAGGCAGCTGCGCCGTTTGCCAGTCGGGCACGTAGCTGCAACTCCGCACAGACTCAGGCACATGCACAGCCTTGTGCGTTAAGTGTAATTGAAATTTGCGGCGTCTAGATTGCTAAAAAAGCAATTCCAAAGAAATTCACCACAAACATAACACGTGTCCATATATATATGCATGTCTCTATCAACAAAAGGTGTTTGCCCGAACTGGTTTTTGATTAACACATCAGAATTTTCTGCAGTATTAACCTTTTGTCTTGTAAGAAATTTCACCCGCAGCTGTGGAAAATTGGCGGAATTTACGTTCGTTTAGGTCATATTCTTATTTACTCTCAAAGCTTTACTTTAAAGATTTGTAAAATAATGTAAATCTGCTAAAAAACGTTTGCAACTGTTTTTTGATTAACACATCGGAATTTTCTGCAGTATTAACCTTTTGTATTGTAAGAAATTTCACCCGCAATTGTGGAAAATTGATGAAATTTACGTTTGTTTAGGTCAGATTCTTATTTATTCTCGAAGTATACATTACACGTGGAAAATAGATAAAAAACTGACTGATGAAAAATACTGTGCTTACGGAAAGCCTGTCGAATTTTCTGCAGTAGTTACCTTTTGTTTTGTGAGTATTTCCACCCGCAACTGTGGAAAATTGGTGGAATTTACTTTGGTTTATGTCAGCTTGTCATTCACTCCCGAAGCTTTATATTAAAAATTTTTAAAATAATGTTAATCTTCTAAGAATCCTTCTGCTAGTTGCATTTGCAAGTTCAAACCACGCGTGGAACATAGATGGACAACTGACTGATGAATGAATGAATGCCTACGGAAAATCCGAATACTATTTGCGTGTATTAAACGCAACAGAATTCAATTGGAGGAATTGCTGCGACTGAGATAAGATATGCATTTGTCAATCGATAAGCGATAGGCGATAAGCGATTGCCAGCGATAACAGAGATCTGGGATCGATTGCTGACAGCAAAGCAATTAACGTTTATTATTGCCAAATTTCAGTTGCCAAGCTGCAGTTAGGGCAATTTTCCGAGTTCCCTTGTGTTTCATATTGCAAATGCTGATCAATATCTAGATTGGAGCTGCTTTTTAAAGCCGTTACAAAGTTCATGGCAAAGGTTATTAAAGAAGCATGAATAACATGGGGGAAGGCAATAAAATTTTAACATTCATGTAAATGTGCGGCTCGGAAGTCGGGGCATACCCGGTCGTAGACAAGGGTTGCGGCTGCCGGTGCGACGAAGCATGGAATAGGGCGCCTAGACACGCAACAAGCCTGCCCCGCCCCGCCCCGCCCCGCCCAGCCCAGCTCTGCCCTGCCATGTCCTGCCGTGGCCAGGACAGCAGCCCAACAACAAGCTGCATAACAATTTAGCGGCGCCCCAAAAGGATGACGTCAGCGCGCAGTGAGAGAGTGAGGGAGAGAGACGAGAGAGAGAGAGAGAGAGAGAGAGAGAGCGCCTTTTCAATTTGAGAAACAAGAAAGCATTTGGACTTATCTTTGAAGTGCCGAAGATTCAAATACCCTTGAAGTGCAACCGATTTCTGTATCTCTAAATATAAA